TTTTTTTTTTTTTTCAATAGAGATGGGGACTCGCTCTTGCTCAGGCTGGCCTCCAACTCCTGACCTCTATAGAGAGCCTCCCACCTCGGCCTCCCGAGTAGCTGGGACGACAGGCATGCGCCACCATGCCCGGCTCATTTTTTGTATATATATTTTTAGTTGGTCAATTAATTTCTTTCTACTTTTTTAGTAGAGACGGGGTCTCGCTCTTGCTCAGGCTGGACTCGAAGTCCTGGCCTCAAGCGAGTCTCCCGCCTCGGCCTCCCTCAGAGTGCTAAGATGACAGGCATGAGCCACCGGGCCCGGCTGGCCGATGACACCAACAATTTTAACAAAAGTCAAACGGAAAGAGGGTCGGCTTAAGATTTTCACCACAGGCCGGGCGCGGTGGCTCACACCTGTCATCCCAGCACTCTGAGGGAGGCCGAGGTGGGAGGATCGCTCGAGGTCAGGAGTTTGACCAGCCTGAGCAAGAGCGAGACCCCGTCTCTCCGAAAAATATAGAAAGAAATGAGCCGGACATCTAAAAATATATAGAAAAAATTAGCCGGTCGGGCGCGGAGGCTCACGCCTGTCATCCCAGCACTCTGGGAGGCCGGAGCGGGAGGATCGCTCGAGGTCAGGAGTTGGAGGCCAGCCTGAGCAAGAGCGAGACCCCGTCTCTACTGAAAAAAAATGAGAAAGAAATGAGCCAGACAAGTAAAAATAGCAGATAGGGAAGAAAAAAAAAAAAACGAGCCGGGCGTGGAGGCGCATGCCTGTAGTCCCAGCTACTCGGGAGGGAGGCTGAGGCAGGAGGATTGCTCGAGCAGAGTACAGGGTGGGGACCCTGCTGAGCATGTGAGCTCATTTTCAGGCTTGAATTCTTTTTTCACTCTGCTGGTTTGTTTTATTTTATTTTTTATTTTTTGGGGACAGAGTCTCGCTTTGTTGCCCAGGCTAGAGTGAGCGCCGTGGCGTCAGCCTCGCTCACAGCAGCCTCAAACTCCTGGCCTCGAGCGAGCCTCCTGCCTCGGCCTCCCTCCCGAGTAGCTGGGACTACAGGCATGTGCCACCACGCCCGGCTCATTTTTTCTCTATATTTTTAATTGGCCAATTAATTTCTTTCTATCTTTTTAGTAGAGACGGGGTCTCGCTCTTGCTCAGGCTGGCCTCCAACTCCTGACCTCAAGCCATCCTCCCGCCTCAGCCTCCCTCCCGAGTAGCTGGGATGACAGGCATGCGCCTCCACGTCTGGCTCATTTTTTCTATATATTTTCAGTCGTCCAGCTCATTTCTTTCTATTTTTAGTAGAGACGGGG